AATTGCTTGTTCTTGATAGAACCAAGCAAAAACAAAAGAAACTTTAGAAAAAGCAATGTGGGCCTCAGCCTGTCAATGAACTAAAGGAAATTATGAGTACTTGTAAAATGGGTGTGATGCATGGGGTATGGAACATACCATGTCTCTTTTCTAGGTTGCCAACTGCTCAGAGAGCACGTAGGAAATACAGAGGATCACCCAGTCCAGTCCTGGGGGATGCTTGCTCTCAATTTTTACTCATGCTCTCAGCATGGTCTTTATTCCTTTCATCTCCCTAGTGTCTGTGTTTCCCTGGATTTTCCTCTACTTTCAAGTGTAGCCTAAAGTGATTAGGAGCAAGCGTTCTGGGGGCCAAGCTGCTTGGCTTTCATTACAGACTGAATGTTTGTACCCCCTTCCCCCCCCGCCCAAAATCCATATGTTGAATCCTTTACCCCCAATGTGATAGTATTTGAGATGGGGCCTTTGGGTAGTCATTAGGTACACATGAGTTCATGAGGGTGGAGTCCCTGTGATGGAATTAGTGTCCTTCTAAGAAGGGAGACCAGAGCACCTCTCTCTCCCTCTCCCTGCCATGTGGGGACACAGTGAGAAGGCAGTCACCTGCAAGGTGGGAAGAGAGCCCTCACCAGGAACTGAATCTATTGGCACCTGGATCTTAGACTTCTCAGCTTTTAGAACTATGAAAAACTAAATGTCTGTGGTTTAAGCCATCCAGTCTATGGTATTTTGTTATGGCAGCCCAAGCTGAGCAAGGTGCATTTGAATCCCAGCATTTCCCTGGCTGAGTAAACCTGGGTAAATTGCTTCATAACTCTGTTCCTCAGTTTCCTTTTTAGTACAAAGGGCTGTTAAATGAGTTCTTACCTGTAAACACACACACACCCCCGATATTAAGCACTCAATCAAAGTTAGTTGTCTTCTTCCTGCATTCCTTAGGAAATTAATTGTGTCTATAGGATTTGGAGGTATTTGAAATGTAAAGGATGGGCAACCAGTGAGAGAGAGAAACTTAAGTTTTACTCCTTTTTTCATTACTCTGAACAGGTTCTACTAGGAGCCTTTGCCCATGGGACAAAGGTGGGAATGGGACGCAGGAGCTGTTCCTTCTGATGGAGTGTGGGAGTGAGATGAGAGGGAAGAAATGGGAATTAAGTGCAAAGGGAACATATCTAAGGCAGATTTGGCTCTTACATAGTTTGGGCTTTTGGTCAGTGTTACTGAAATGTTTTTTAATATTGGCTGTACCCATCCCTGTTTTCTGAATGGAGATAAAAATGAAAATTATATTAGCAGTTGAGCATGGCTATATCTTTGGACTATCTATATCTGTAAAGAGAGCAACTTGTTTTGGAAACTTGAAAGGTTGAGTTTTCTCATAATTGTGCGATTTCTTAAACATTGTCTCTGCTGTGTGAGTGGGCTCTGGGTGGCATGGGAAGGTAGCAGTGGAAAGGAATTTGGCTTTGTTGGAGAAATGGGTATTGGTGTGGGACATCAGTACCAGCTAAGTAGGGATGCAAGAAGATGCTTCCATTTCTTCCTTTGACATTCTATTTTTTCATTTTATTTTTTATTTTATGGTTAAACTAGTTTCTAGCTATGAGTATAAAGTATAAGAATCTTTCCTTTATAATCTAGAAATAGCCTTTCTGAATCCTAACCATGTTCAGCAATGGTTTTATGTGACTCTCTTTGCATGTGTTAGGGTAGCCTACACATCTGGCAGTTTTTTCACCCTGCTGGGCTGATACAAATGATGTTTTTCTTGTTAGATTTTCGACCAAGCAAATTGCAGGTTACAAACTCCTGGTCCTTTTTATAGTATCTGGTTTCATTCTTAGAAACACAAGCTTTTTCACTTGCCAATTAATTACCATAAATAAGTTTATCCATAGTCACTTGTTTATTTTTCAAAAATTGGGTTCACTGTGGGCAATGTTGTTTTTTCCCACCAGGTTTTTCAGTATCTGGCCTCTTTATGAAACTCAAGGCTTGCTTAGAAAATTGTTTCATGCCCCCCCCCTTTTTTACCTTTATGTGTTTGCCTCATATAGGATATAGAATTTTGAGACCCATTTATTGTATTTATTGAGACATTAAAAATGTAGTAAATGCTGTTGGGAGGTTTAATGAATGGTTTTCATTGAAATGTAAAATCACTTAGAATTAGAAATTTGAGGAGAAAGTGGGATCCAGTGAGCCTGTGTAATCTTTTCATCAATTGTGCCCTTGCAGTAAGAAAAGTACATGTGGGTTAGTACACTTTCATTAAAACCTACTTTCATAAACTTAATATCAGAATACATGTTTATTTAAAATATAACTTCAATACCTACAGTTTTAATAAAATGATGCATGAGGTCTGTCTTTTTAAGTCACGGATAGACTATTAAGTCAAGGTAAAATGAATAACCATGCCTTTCATTACAGGTTCAGCAAAACACATGGGTTGAACTTAGCTTAGATTTGTGTAACATTGTTCCACAGCTGGTCTCTTTGATTATCCTTTTATGCGGAGGAGAAATATAATACTTGGGTCTGTACTGAAGCTATGAGCTTTGGATATGGTTATTCTTTTCTGTCCTTGCACTTACTATCTGAATTGTGTGCTGCATACGAGGGTACTGCAAAAAGTTCACGGACAAATTCTTATTATCTTTTAACTCTATTTTTCCATGATGTTTTTGAATTACCCTAGTATTTGTTTATATGTTGATTCTTGTCACCCCATTGACCCCCCACTAGCAGGGTCACTGTGTGAAGCTGGAGACTGCCCGCTACAGCTCAGGGCATTTCCCCCTGTAATGCTGTATCTGCTCTTTATAGTCACTGGGTAATTGTTAATGGAAATGCCCAGCACCACATGGATTTTGTGTAAAATTAGAGCCTAAATTTGAGTGCAGAGCACTTAGGGTGAGCTCACAGTTAATCATGTCAGCTTTGACCCTTGTACCATTGTGCGTTGAAAGTGTGGCTTCTGCTAAAGTATTTATTTTGCATAATCCTTGAGAAGGCTAGGATTCGAACTGTTATTGTGGGAGGAGGGGAAGCCCATTTACTAATTAAAGTCATGTTTGTAATTTCAAAATTGACTTCTTTAAAGTTCCTTGTGTTTTAACAGGTGCTTTCCATCACCCCAAAGTGGCCACTCTCAAGATGTTTTCTGGCCTTCTTTATCCAGTCACATGAAGTGAGGACCTGAGAGCACTGTAGGTGAGGACAGGAAGGAGTGATTGGCACCTTCAATCTTGCCCTTAAGGAGCCACAACCATCCTGTTCCTATGAGGTTCATTCTAGAAACAGAATTACAGTGATCCCCCTTAAGCAGTGTGCTGAGACATCAGATAAAATGGTGAAAACACCATATTTATGTCATGGCATGTTATCTTTTGCCATGACTGCAGTAATGATACTTCATGCTGATCACCATCTTGCAATGCAACAAGATCTCTACTCCCTTGGTAGCATTTTCAGCCAAATATCTCTGAATACATTTTAAAATTAATCAAACAATTTAGGACATGCAGTATTTCTCTTTCTATGCCTGGCTTATTTCATTTAACATAGTTTTCTCTATAGTCATCCATGTTGCTGCAAATGGCAGAATTACATTCTTTTTTATAGCAGAGTATACATACCACATTTTCCTTATCAAGTTGTACAACAATGGACATTTAGGGTATTTCAATATCTTGGTCATTTTAAATAGAACTGTGATAAACATGGGAGTGCAGGTATCAAGAGTACATCCAAAAAGATTATAGACTATGAGCAGGTGGAATTCATCCCAGGCATGCAAGGATGGGTCAACATACACAAATCAGTAAATGAGATACATAACGTCAATAAAAGCAAGGACAAAAACCATATGATTCTCTCAACAAACGTAAAGAGACACCTGACAAAATTCAACATCACTTCATGAAAAAGACTCTCAACAAAAAAGATATAGAAGGAAACGATCTCAACACAATATAAGCTTTATACGATAAACCCAGCACCAGAATCATTCTGAATGGGAAAAAGCTGAAAGCTTTTCCTCTAAGAACAAGAACAAGACAAGGACACCCAGACTCACCATTCCTATTGAACACAGTATGGAATTACTAGCCAGAGCAATCAGGCAAGAGAAAGAAATAAAAGGGCATCCTGATTGGAAAAGATGAAGTCAAACTGTCCCTGTTTGCAGATGACATGATTTGATACACAGAAAAACCTTAAGACTCTACCAAAAAACTCTTAGAGCTGATAAATGTTCCAGAAAAAATATATATATATATTTTTTAAAAAATCGTATAACTTCGTATAATGTATGCTATACGAAGTTATTACGTACATCCAAAAAGATTATAGACTATGAGCAGGTGGAATTCATCCCAGGCATGCAAAGATGGTTCAACATACACAAATCAGTAAATGAGATACTTAACGTCAATAAAAGCAAGGACAAAAACCATATGATTATCTCAACAAACTTAAAGTGGTACTTGACAAAATTCAACATCACTTCATGAAAAAGACTCTCAAAAAAAGATATAGAAGGAAACAATCTCAACACAATATAAGCTATATATGATAAACCCAGCACCAGAATCATTCTGAATGGGAAAAAGCTGAAAGCTTTTCCTCTAAGAACAAGAACAAGACAAGGACACCCAGACTCACCATTCCTATTGAACATAGTATGGAAGCACTAGCCAGAGCAATCAGGCAAGAGAAAGAAATAAAAGGGCATCCTGATTGGAAAAGATGAAGTCAAACTGTCCCTGTTTGCAGATGACATGATTTGATACACAGAAAAACCTTAAGACTCTACCAAAAAACTCTTAGAGCTGATAAATGTTCCAGAAACAATCATGGGAGAAAGTGTGGTAGCACTTACAGGAAATATACTAACCTCATGAAACTCTAAATTTGAAATAATTTTACCACCAAACATCATATCCTCTAGCCCAAATTATAATATTCCAAAGCTGAATTTTTATTTTTACACTTACCATGTTGTATGTCTTTCATATCTAAATGAAGACTAGACATTAATATTCCAACTGCTTGTGATCTTTTGTTGCTTAATAACTTGACTACCTGCTCAAGAAAGAAAAGGGAAAATGTTAATTTGAACTCCAATATGCTTAATTGCATATTTTTTAAAAATCCTAAATGAAGAACAAATTAAGAGAAAACACCTGTCATTATTTAAACTATTCAAAACCATATTTTTATATTTGAAGAGAGCTTTGGGGTTTTATATCATAAATCTTTCAAAATCTACCATTTGCCCCCAGTATTCATCACCAGCCTCAAAGCCAAGTTCTTTACCAGTCTTTTTAAAGCCTGATCTGTCAACAAGTAAAATTTTTATTAGTCTAGAAAATTAGTACTGGTCTCTGTAAAATAACAATTACACATTTGGTCATTTAAATATGTTCATACTTTAAATCAGAGCCTTGAAGTGCTGGTCAACAGGTGACGGGCAAAATAAAAGTTCACACACAGAGAACCTGTTAGAGCAGATTAGTTGTACCACAAAGTAGAAAAAGTGCTTTCATTATGGTCATTTAGGAAGCTCACTATTTGACTGGCAACTCCACTCATCTGCTTTTGACACATGTTTTGTGGGGAACTTTCCAACTAAGAGAAGGACACAAACAGAAAGGGATGTACATCGAAAGGGCTGCACAAGCTCAATCTCAAGTCTGGCTTCCCAGAGAGTCTTGAGGCGTCATTGCACACAATCCCACAGGAAAGTTTCGTAAAGCATACGTGGGCAGGCTGCTACAGATGTGTTTAATCCATGTTTTCCAGATAATAACACACCACCAATAAATCCTGCTATGAAACTCTTACCCCAGGTCCTGACCCTGTGAAGGGCAGTAAATTTTTATTTACTCTGTGTTTCATTTTATATCTGCTTAGAAAAACACTGGAGGGAAAGAAAATAAAAAGTTATGCTCAAATTACCAAAAGTGACAGCTGCCTTAACAGCTAGCACATTTGTTGACCTTGTCTTCCTTTTCAGTTTAAGTCAGGTCAATCAGGAAGCTACGAAAATAATCATAGCCAGCTGTCACACAAAGTGGCAGAGTGAAACAATATTGTTAATCGCAATAATAGCATTCCTGGTTCCCCAGAAGGGATGAGGGTGGGGAATAAAACACTTTCAGAAGGACCAACCACAGAAATCTCCCAGTCATGTCTGAGAGCCTCCTGTGGTAAGGGACAGTACTTCACAAGAGGCGCTGCTTACTCAAAGGAAAGAACGATGTACAATATTTGATTCTAAATTTGCTCTTTCAACATTTTAAGTTTCACCTAGAAAAACTAGCTTAAAACTTGAATATGAATCCATTAATAGAGCAAAATATTGCTACCAATAGGATTGTCCTCCTCAGAGCTGTAAGAAAACAGAAACGTAATGTCAGAAAGAGCAGAAGGCATGTGCTCTGTCCTGAAAAACAGTTTCTTCAGACAAATACAAGCTGGGTCCCATCCATGCTGCTCCGGTTGACCTTGTCTTCCTTTTCAGTTTAAGTCAGGTCAATCAGGAAGCTACCAAAATAATCATAGCCAGCTGTCACACAAAGTCCCAGAATGAAACAATATTGTTAATAGCAATAATAGCATTCCTGGTTCCCCAGAAGGGATGAGGGTGGGGAATAAAACACTTTCAAAAGGACCAACCACAGAAATCTCCCAGTCATGTCTGAGTGCCTCCTGTGGTAAGGGACAATACTTCACAAGAGGCGCTGCTTACTCAAAGGAAAGAACGATGTACAATATTTGATTCTAAATTTGCTCTTTCAATATTTTAATTTTCACCTAGAAAAACTAGCTTAAAACTGGAATATGAATCCATTAATAGAGCAAAATATTGCTACCAATAGGATTGTCCTCTTCAGAACTGGAAGAAAATAGACATTTAATGTCAGAAAAAGCAGAAGGCATGTGCTCTGTTCTGAAAAACAGTTTCTTCAGACAAATACAAGCTGGGTCACATCCATGCTGCTCCGACAAAACTGCTTTTATTAAGCTTCCTGTCATCTTCTGGTTCCTCACAGCGATGGGCACATTTGAGTCCATACATCACTTGACCTCCTGGTAGTGTTGACTTGGTGATCACACTTTTATTATTAAATTTATCTTTTCTTAATTGGCACATAACAACTGCATACATTTTGGGGTACAAGGTGATATGTGGGTACGTGTGCGCAATGTGCAGTGATCACATCAGGGAAACTCTAGGGTTCCTGCCAGTTCTTCTCAGTCCTTCTGAACGTGACTTACTCTGATTTCACCTTACGTATCAGCATATCCCAGAGTCCTCATCTCCACACCTTATTCTCTTCACTTCATGGCCTATAATTTTCCTGTGCAGACACATATGCCTGCATCTTCAACTCAGCAGTCTCCTCCTTTCCCAAAAGGTATCTCCATTTAAAATACCCACATAATCTCCATTTCACATGTCTAATACCTAACTCTTATCAGTTCCACCCCAAACTCCCATCAGCTCCTCCTCCTCTATTCAATATGTTGAGATAAGAGTGGCACCATTCTCCATCCACCTACAAAAGATAGAAATCCGGAAGTCAATCTAGACTCCTACCTGAAGTCAATCTAGACTCCTACCTCCCTGCACATGCACAGTCTGGTCTGGTATCAGGTCCAGTCACTTACAGCTCCTCTGTATCTTTGGAAGCCATCCCTCCTCCTCAACTCTACTGTCAGTGTTTAGTTATATATTATATCCTGCATAGATGAATGCAAAAGACTTCTAACTGGTCTCCCAAAAGCTCATCCGGTGGTTCACAAAGTGTGCTCCTTTGACCAGTCAGCATCAATATCCCCTGGGAAGTTACAGCCCTGTCATAAACATCACAAAATCTGGGAGAAGAAAGCATCAATCTGCATTTTAAAGGCCTTCCCAGTGATTCTAGAGCCACTGATAGGGTCTCATCCTTTCTGGTCCATTCTCCAAATTTATGTCCAAGCACTCTCTCTAAAAATGCTATTTGCATGTTGCCTCTTAATCTTTAACCCTTTCTATTTAAACCTGAGTGGTTCATGCTTTAGTGGTTAGTCTTTAAATAGGTCACATAGAATGCTTCACAGTTCAATATTTGAAACCTGCTTTTTCCATTATAATTCAAATGTACTTGATTATAAACTGTATTTTACATTTAAATGCCTAAGATTATAGGTAGGAACAATAATTATCCACCACTTTCCAGAAGGTACACATTCAGAAGAGGACAGATAACAGAATGGACTCCACCGTTCCCTAGTATAACTCAATCTTTGTGTTATGAACCACTGTCATTATCTGTCCTTCTTAACACCCTGATAACAAAAAACCCGAAAATAGCAAACTAGAACATTTTTAGGTTCCAGTGACTACAGATGCAATGGAGAGAAAAGTGTAGATTCTTTTAAAATGATCTCTGAATGCTTAGGGAAAAAAATGAAAAATTCTGGATTAAGAAATCGGAACTCTATAGAATTAGAACAAACCATCAGAAAAAGGATTATGTTGAATCTACCTAAAGTCACATTAGAGTTGGCTAATTTTCTTACTAAAGTTATTATCTTAGATGTCTCTATGAGACAGGACTGTGTAGGGATTATGAACACGGACTCTGTAAAATAAAGCAGTATTTCTCAAACCTTAATGTGTACCACAATCATGTGGGATATTTTTAAAATGCAGATTCTGATTCCTAAATTGGAGATGGGGGAGAGCTGAGGTTCTTCCAAAAGCCATAGTAGGGATTCAGCGTGATAATGCACCTGGCCCTCTTAGCAATGTGCGTAGCATGCTGTGGATTTACTGTCATAAATGATAGCTATAAGAAATCAAATTCTTAGGCAGGAATTTTTAGTTTTGTCAAAAATAAAATGTTTGGCCACTTTCATCTTAAGGTGATTCACTTAGCCCACTGAGATACTAATTCACACACTACACCAAGGAAGAAAACTGATAAATTAATTACTGAGTTTAATTCTACCACAGCATTATTGATCTTTCCCTCCTCTTATGTAACACAGAAAAAACTCATAGTAGTTTTCAAGGGGTTACAAAGGATTTCTGCATTTAAATTGTCTTCCCTGGCATTCCGTATGACCAGTGACACATCTGCTTTGACCAGGCACAATATTTGGAAAAGGATAAAACCAAGATGTCCATATATGTGTGGTCCCAGTCAAAACTTATAGGACATGTAGTTAATATAATTAGGCTGCATAACTAGAAATGCATTTAAAATTAACATTAACTAATTTTTGGTCTCAATGATTGTTGCACCAAGAAGACATCTTGGTCTATTTCCAATGCCTATTATTATTATTATTATTATTATTATTATTATTTTATTATTTTATTATTTTATTATTATTTCACTTAATTTAGAGATGAAACTAGTACTGGAAACTCATAGTAGAGGTATGATGACAGAAGCAAAGATACTGGGAATGTATTCACTCTTCTTCCTGCAATCATTAAGTTTTAATTATCTTGAATCCTCATTACCTAGCTGACTGTACATAGAAATTTCTAATAACAAGAGTTCCAGAACAGCATATGATAATTAATAAGTACTTCAAAGCTTACGGTTAAGCAAAAACTTGCACTAGAAACACTAAAAACTAGCAATTTTCACCGACTGGAGCTTTGTTTTCTCAACTTCAACCACCACTCTCTGAAAATGCACAATAAAGTGACCAAGGGACACATCTTAGTCTCCATTTTCCCTCTCCCTCCCACTTCCCATTTCTCCACCTTTCTAACCTGACAGAGGGAGACAGGGAGAGCCTGGGTACATTTCAACAGGGCCATGTCATACAATGGTTTGGTGGTGTCCCACACAGTGTGCAGAGTCAAGGCAGAAGCCAGCCAGCTCAGAGGGAGACATGCCTTTCCCTAATTATACAAAGACCCCTTGTGGATTAGCTGCAACTCTGGGTCTGAATTCCAGCTCCAGCACTGGCATATCCTTGGGCATTTAAATCTCTTCGATCTGTAAAATGCAGGACACACTTCATAGAGCGTTCCACAGAAGGATTACAACGGTTCTGTGGACATA